TTTCATAGAAGATTTGATGTGGACTTTCGGAGGGTAATACTGTCTCCGTTGTAGTTTGTTCGGGTGTAAGGTATTGTTGCAATTGCAGTATCTCTGCTTGCCTTTGTGCAATGAGCGCAGCTACATCTTTCGAAACTGTGGGTTGAGGATAAAGCTTTTCTGAGGGAACTTGTGGGATATCAATAGGAGCTTCGAGCTTGGGCGTAGTCGTATTTAAAGATTCGGTCACAAGTGGGGAAACTTGATGTTTGCTTCTTTCAGCGCCTCCATCATCTTGGCGTGGAGAGAGAAGTGGGCCTGGCGAGAACTCTGAGGTATTTTGAAGTCGAACATCAGCTCCACTTAGCTCAATGGGCCTGAGGCCCCTGAACACAGATCCCCCAAGCTCCTGCCGCGGAATCGATAAATCGCTTCTGTACACGGTACCCTTCTGCCCACGGCCGAGCTCCGCTGCAGTACTTGATCTGTATCCATTGTCTTTACTGTCCTCACGCTCATGATAACGTCTCTCCATCTCATCAAGCAGCTTGCGAACGCGGTGTTTACGGTCTTCTGATATATCAGTGGTGTCAGAAAACCCAATTGTTGCAGGCATCAATAAGAATCCCCAGCCGTGCGAGTCTTCGCCTTCGTCATAAAGCTCTGCGCCTGCTTCCATGAGTATTTCTAAAACTTCCGGGTGCCCATAGTAAGCAGCATATCTTAAAGGTATGTAGCCGAACTCGTCACGCTCCTTAACAGATGCGCCCTTCTTCATAAGCAGTTTCACAAGATCGAGATGGCCAGCTTTAGCAGCAATACACAAAGGCGAGTCTTTATTTGGTCGATCTCTGAAACGCATTCTGAGAGGCTCATTGTACGACAATAACTTCTCCACAATTTGGACATGCCCTTGGCGACAAGCAATGCAAAGTGGTCGATCACCACCAGAGTCCCGCTGATCAATCGCAATTCCTTTGCTATGGAGAATCTCTACAATATGCACGGATCCCTTCGCAGCCGCAATATGAATTGGCCGTCGACTCTCGCCCTTGGTCTCTTCCTCGGCATTTGCCCCAGCACTGAGCAGTAGACTTACAATATCGGGGCTGTCGGACCCGCAGGCATAATGAAGCGGCGTTCGACCTTCTCTGCACCAGCGGTCTAAGCTTGCTTTTCTTCGAATTAGCAACTCAACAACGCAAAAATGTTGGCCGATGACAGCAAGATGAAGCGGTGTAAGCCCATCAATATCACTTTCATATATTGACAGTTTCCATTCGAGCAGGTAGTTCACTACTTCAACATGACCGTTGCGAGCAGCATAGTGTAGAGCATTGGCCCTCTTTTCATCGATACTCTTCGGGTTAACCTTTCTCTTCGAGAGAAATTCTATTATCTGTAATTGACCTGTTGCAGATGCGCAAAGAAGTGGGGTTTTGGAATTGTTGCCCGGGACTTCAATGTTCGCGCCTTTCTGGAATAGGTAGTCAACCACATTTTGGTGACCATTCTCACAAGCATAATGTAATGCAGTCATGAATTGATTATCTCTGGCTTCCATGTCAGCGCCGTTACGAAGTAGAATTTCAACCATCTGCTTGTCTCCCTTCTTCGCTGCTGCATGCAGAGCTGTACATTGATCATTGGATCTCGAGTTGATTTTTGCACCTCTCTTTGCCAATAGCTCGACAGATTTGACGTGACCATTGTATGCAGCTGCCCACAAAGGAGACCATCCGTCTTTATTTTTCGATTCTATGTCAATGTCTTCATGAAGTAGTAATTGTAAAGTGGAGTAGTGATCTCGAGATGCTGCTAGATGTAAAGGAGTGTCTAGATTGACATCTCGAGTAGTCAAATCTGCATTGAATTGAAGAAGAAGATCGACTGATTCAGTATTGCCGCAATGGGAAGCGACTGCGAGAGCAGTTCTTTTGGTGCCACCATGATAGGCTTCTATGTTACCTCCATTCGACAACAAAGCCTGGATTTCTACACCAGATCCTGCCTGGGCTGCTCGGACAATAGTAGGCGTTTGGAGTCCATTTGGTGAGCTAAAATCAATGCTTTGTTTGAAGTTTATGTCTTGTCCTCGTTTCAATCGATTAACAGTAGGGAAACTGGGGCTGGCGGACTTCACCCGATCGGGGCTTGATAACAAACTAGCAGCACTAAAAGTGTTAAGCTTTCCAAGTCGACTAGGCCAGAATTTCTTCCTTCGAGAACCATCTGATTTATCTTCTTGTGGTAATGATTCTCCGGAAGAAGAAGATGAGGACAACCATCTCTTGACCATAGGCTCTGACTTGGCAGAATCCGACGCAACGCTGCGACTACGATATATGTTGAAATTATTGAAATCCGGTAAAAGATTTGTTTGACCAAGGTAGGGACGATTGTCCAAACTAGGGCGATGGCTCAACGATACTAGAGATCGTGGCTCAGAAAGCGTGATTCCTGTTTCATAGCCTTCGTCAGTCGTCGCAGTAACGTTTGTTTCTGGAAGCCGATTTTTTGTGTGTGCGAGAGCTCGAGTTCCCCTCAGTGAATCAATATTGTTGTATGGTCGAGAATCTTGTAGTGTGCCATCAAATTCAAAGACCGTTCCACCAATACTACTCCCCAATATAGAATGACGTGCACTTCTCGAAATTTGTGATCCGGCTGAACTTTCACGTAGTGATTTCGTATCGTCGGCAACTTTTTGTATCAATCTTCGGTTCTCTTTGAGTGCCAATAGAGACTTTTGAGTTACTGCATCACGACTATTGGCATGAGCATATTAGCTAGAATATTAAAAGTTTGCCGATCGTGGTCTTACCATTGTCCTGCCATGAGAAGAAGTTGTAATGCCTGCACTTGGCCATGTAATCTATCTTCATGAGCCTTCATGGTATCCTCGCTCCATACTGCTGCCACTTTCCCTCTGACCCCGAGTACAATTGGCATTCCATCATTTGAGTCCCTCGTAGCCACTGTGAGATCCTTGACTTCTTCGGAAAGTACATCAATTGCAGCCTGGCATCCATCGAGTGCGACATGAAGTCCATCCATGAACTGTCTTTCCTTTGGGGAATCTTGCGAGTTGAATTCCGCCCAATCTCTAATTTGGAAAACGGCAGCTTTTATGGTGGAAAGTTTACTGATTATGAGACGAATCGTTATATCTGCATCTTTGAACTTTCCCCGCAGAGTGTGGAGGCCTTGAATCGTCGACCCAATGAATTGAGCAATCTGCAGGGCCGATGCCGCGACACCGAGAACAGTAACAGGATCCATTATGGGAGAACTTATCGCAATGGCGAGCTCCAGCTAGAATAGAGATATTCATTGAATACTGCGACAAACGAAATTGTAGAACATGCAGAATATTAGTATAAAGAGTGGTGGAGGTTGAACTGCATGCTTATTCTCTCGCCATGTTCAGGAACACTGCAAGAAATACAAGCTGAGCCCCAAGACCCATAAGATAGAATGACGACAAGGATGGAACAAGAACATATCCAATAACTTTTCAGATGTGTGCTGAAAGGCCCTGCAGCTTACATATGAAATCAGCCTTAACCTCAAACTGCGCCCACCCTTGTGGAAAATCACGATAACGATGGCAACTATTTCACGAAGACATTGAGATCAACGGGAAGAAAATCCATCGGCATAACTTTCCGAGTGGAATCTTTGTCGATTGATAAATGCTTGGATGAAGGATTCCACCAAGCTGGCCCACTGTGTGACTTTGATATACATTATCCTGGGAAGATGTGTGCCGTTCACGATTGCTGTGCGGGGCCCCTCCAAGCCCCTTGAAGCAATCATGGTAACTACCCGTGTTGCTATACTACTTACCATACGATAGGATTTTGAGGTAAAACATCAAGCAATAGCAAAGAAAAGAAAAAGCTGTCAAATTATGAGCTTTGAAGTATTTCGTATTTCGGTGACTACAAAAGTAAATTTAAACATTGACGGGCTAAGCCAAATTTCCCGGCGCTAAATTTTGATAAGCTCACTGATACACCGCACTTCATCATGTTAGACATAACTCGATATAACGTCAAATATTACCGCAACCCGGTCCACTAGAGCTTTAATGACGACTTTCAAAACACAACCTATAATATCGGATGAATGCCAGTTACATGCATGAATTACCGCTGATCATTGAATGCTTTCCCTGCAAGACAAATCTCAAATGTCTTTCCACCAAGCGGTGGAGGACTAGTTAGATGTTCACCTCGTTATCTATCTGGGTAGCTAAGCAAGTAATCCGATTTGCTATCAAGGTCTCCCTTTTGAATTCTGGACCATGAGCTCGAGTGAAGTGGAGAGCTTTAGTAACTTATCATTCGGTCGAAGAATTCGGTCAAATGAACATCAGATCGTCTCTACATTTCATTAATGAGCAAGATCGTTGTAACTGGAAATTTTTACTACATACTCAAACACAACCGATCTGGTCTTTGTCCACGTGAGGGTACCTCATATGCCAAAACCCGAGTTTATTTACTTCATAACTAGTAGTATCTTTCCAGCTCGATCCTCTATGGCTTTCCTAACAAGACCAGACCAGTGTCTGAAGCCGGAATTGATCGTTGAATTAGATCGCTATTAACATCATCAACCGGACACCTGCTTCTCTAATCTGCTTGTTTTATATCTTTCCTTCTGCAAAGACTTGACAGGTTACTGGAGGGATAAAGTTACAGAATTGAGATGAAACACGCTGACACTTGATTGTCGATGCGTACATTATACATATATCATGGTGATATCTAACCTGTATTTTGAAGAGACTTCAACATTGTTTTACCTGCATCAGTTCAAAGTTCCGTCTTATCTTCCCAATATAGCATCACGAAAATACATTTATATCGAATTCAATGAATATTCGGGTCATGCAAGTAATGTAGACCTTAGCAGTATACTATGAGAATCGGATGATCTAACCCATGTGTTTCAGTGATTTTTCTCCTCATTCCGTTTACCATGATTTTTTGAATACTCCACCACATTGAACACTAATCACATCCAAGCGCAGCCCCATCATCCTCCAAACTGCCTAACAATAGTATTCGTTTTCTTGGCAACTCGACTACCCATTCACTCTCCATCTGCTCCCTTTCCAATATTTCCTCTGCCGGCTTTCTTTGAAGCCATTCAAACCCATGGTTAGAAGTGACTGCAAAATACACAAACTCGCCTAAATGACCTTTCTCTTCAAAGAATTCCTGCATCGCTTTGTTCCAGCAGGCTATCCTTACACCGCCTGGCATCTCAAATCCTCCTATGTAAACGATCTCTTGGCCAGCTGCGTTTTTGAAAGGCAACATTGCCATAATCTGTTCGTAGAGCCTTGCCCAAAAGCCGGCAGTCGCTAAATCATCGTCGTATGTCCAAGCAAATACAAGAGCAGCAAGCACATTGCTCACATCCCCAGTATTTTCGTACATCAAGCGGAGACAGCGTCGAATGTAGGGAATAGCGTTCTTAGTGTGACTATAGTTCGGATTGTAGTAAAAAAACTCGGGCCAAAAAATTGGGTCCTGGGTAAGATCGAAGTATGGGTCGCGATGTGTCCGGGGTATTTGGAAGTCTAGATAGTATGTCTTGCTGAATCTGATGGTACAAAAATTCATGACGTAGTTCTTTGGGGCCATCATACTCTCTATTTCAGCTGGTTCTTCGAACATGCTGACATCGGTAGAGGCAGAGCTGAGTGTCGAAAGTGGAGAGGGGGACCTTGATAGATCGAAAAGGTCGACTAAAGGTGTATCATCGGTATGCATTATTATCGACGAGAAAGCAACGCTTTCGATTTCGATTGGATCAGGGGGCAGTGTTGGGGTTGGGTTAGAGGCTGGCAAGGGAGAATTAGGACTTGAGCCAGCATGTGATTTACATTGTTTGGTTCTTAGTTCCCTGAAATCCGCCCCTAACTCCGACCATACATCATCAGTATCAATGAAAAGCCGTTTAAACCATGGCGATTATATTCTGAAATCTCAAGCTTGTGTGCATGTTTGTTAGAAGAAGTCATGAATAAATCTGTGATGAGAGGAAGAAGTGGACTCTTACAGTAATAATTTAAAGACAGTGCCTGGAACTTACCAGAATTGGGTAAGTTTTGTTCGACAGCCCAAATACTTATGTAAACCAATGATGAGCCAACCGATGGTCGAAAGGTATTTAAAGATCAATGTAAAGTTCAGGCAGCGTGTGTGAAACGTGCTATCAAATTCGAGAAGGAGGCAGAATTCTTCCTGAAACCTTTGTATGATTGTTGTGAAATTTTGTGGAGAGAAAACTTATTATTTCAAGTGCTCGCCTGGTATTGGGCTATGCCATTGTTCTTGAGTTAAGGAATGGTTATCGTTGGTGCTGTCTGATTGTAAGTCCGTTATTTAATTGATGATAAGCGAGTTTCTATAAGCCACTAAGGTGAACTTTATGCTGTACTATATAGAATCTGACCACTCGGGAAGTCCCAAGAACTAGCGATGCTAGATTTTCAGTTCTTCTTAGCCCTGTCTTTCGAGTAAGTGCTGTTGGTTTCTGCAGATCTTGTTACAGCATCCTTTACATGATCTTTTTTCTGTTTATTCACCAGCACTAGCTGTAACAGCTGCTGTAGACATATCATATTGGTATATATCATAGGAAAGTCGATAAAGATGTTTGTTCGTCTTATACTTCATAGATTAGATAGTGAATACCCTGGGGAAGATAAGGGAAAAAGCTCATGCACTGTTACTATTGGCTTTTGCAGTGAATGTCACAAGTCCATGAGCTTTCTCCACTTTCCTTTTTCGGATATTGACACAAGTATTCACTATGCAGACTTTTGACACAACTCATAAAACTTGACTGTATTTAAAAGAACAGAGCTAGAGTTCCTTGTACAACCTCCGATATCCAAAGAACTTCTTCTGGTGCTTTGAAGATCTTTCATCGCACATATTGTTAGTACCAAGGTTCTTAGTTCCTTTGCTATGATCTCATTTAATCCAAACTTCTCACCATCATCATTCTGACTCCTGCAAAGTGATTCAATGACAGCAATAGACTCCATGTGCTTGACTTAAGTCATAATAATAGATCATTTGTACTAATGACAGTAACAATTCCCATGGTTCCCTCAACTTTCCCTTTTTTCTAAAACCTGTCTCCCTGCAAGACCAATCTCAATGTGCTCTCCAACGTGATGAAATTTCCGCAGGGCATCAATTAGTCACCCCCTGATATTTCCATTCAGTTTCTTTCTGTCTCCATAACGCCCATTAAATGCAGTTTATATATACGCTGCTTGTTGATGTTATAGTGGGGCTCGAGAAGAATACACAGAGAGGGTACCTCGGTATGCATGTGGTGGTGAATATAAATATGGGATTCACTGCCTTCAAGCTATGTGTGAGTTATAATTCAACAAGGAATAGTAACCTCATTGGATTGACTGGCCATCTAATTTACTCTTCCTCTTGCTAGCATTATTAATCCCTATGAATGACCATATATCGTTGAATCAATATCAGTCCATAGAGTTCATTCACTATTAAGCTCAGCCTTCAAACTTTTGCACAAGAGAAACAATCAACTCATGAAATAGAGCCAGAATTCGAAAAATTATCACCCTCTGACTCCAATACGGATCTTTACTAAAGAACAAGATGAATCTTTAAGACGGGTTCTATGGAACCACTAGCTCCCAGGTATATTTTCACTGTCTAAACAAATGGTACTGCTATCGCTACAATTTTCACCATCAATAAAAACTTTGGTTATCACCTGATCTGGTGTCCAATCCCATACCGTCATATCCTATGTCTTCCAGACACGACAGCACTTGATGCCCGATCTCGAAGCTCTTCTGGTCGTTGAGGTCGTTGAGGTCATCAAAGTCTAGAATGAACTCCACCTATTCTCTAAGTTACGGTAGTGTACTCAAGTGTACCCTTACAATATACCCTCCAAAATTTACAAACACTTTTACAAGAGAGTTTGTTTCAAGTAAATGAGTCCCTTCAAATCTTAGTTACCAAGCTTTATCGACTGATCAAAACGCAGACAATTCGTTCATTTGACTCGATGAACTGACGTTTATCAACCCAAATTATCTCTCCTTAGCCTTCCCTCCTTGCTTCTTTGCTTCAAGCATAAAACTACGCCATACCAATCCATCCTATTCCTGCGCTCTTCAACCTGAGGGAATTGGCGTCGACACGATCCAAGGAACTTCTCACCTCTGTTCTACCAAGACCTAACCCATGTCGAACGAGGAAATTCTGCAATTCTATCCTTGAGTATTAGGGGGTTCTTAAAATCGTCTTAAAATATGTTTTTTTCTCTAATCCTTACTATGCCCCATCAACAAATCTCAGAATCGACAGTGATAGCATACAAAAACGCCAACACAAGTTCTCTCATGCCCGAGTATTTTGCCGGCTCAACATCGACACACGCCGTGAAGAATCGCCAAAATTCAAAAGAACAAGTGGGAACCTACGACTTACCCATTGACGACAACACTCGTAAAATCCAAGAAACTAAAGATGTGTTCAAAACAAGAAGTTCATAGCGCCGGTCAAGAATCACTTTTCCATTTATCCATACGGTGTAGCCAAGCCTTTCTGGATAGTGGAGAATGAGGGGGTGGAGAAAAACATTTCACTTAATACGAGAAGTGGCTCCTGATCGGAACTCCACTTAGAGGATCAAGGATAATAGACCTGGGACACGAGAATGACGCAAGACAAAATACTGTGAGCCCCTCCGTCTCGCTCACCACATTGTTTTTGGAAAATAAACCATAGTTGTTAAGAAGTGGCTCTTTGTAATTTTCTAATATTCCAATTCTATCCCATCCCATCCGCTTCCAGCTTCTACTACTCACATATATGCAAAAATACCATTGACTCGCCTCTTCGTATCTATATTGACCAATCCCAGTGATCCCACTCATTAAACTCCATATCATTACCTAAACCATCCATAAGTATTCAAAGCTTTCTAAGCATGCGCCTGTTCCGTGTAACCAGGAGTACCTGCCTCTTCCTTCTCGTCTATTTACTCCTCCCTAGCGAGATTCTTTGCCCAAGACCTGTGGTGTTCCATGGCCTGCTGACCCCCAGAAATATGTGATTTCGTTATCGGCCGGCAAGCGAAATGACAATTTTCATTCCCATTTGACCCGAAATCAACGTTCCGGATATATTGCTTGTCTGTCCCCCCATTTCCTCTTATTACAACTCCGATCCTTTATTTGATCACCACTTTTTCGTATCCCGATCTTTCTAGTCCGCCAACAGCCTTCTCAACCCTTGCATAAGCACCACCGAGCTCGGTCACTCTTCCCTCCACAAATCCCACAAATCTCCTTAGACAAAGTCTCTCACTTCTACTCGGCAACCCCATCATTAATCTTTCATCCCCACAACTCCCTACGATTCCCGCTCTGAGAACTTCATCTAATCTCCTTTGCATTCCAATATCATCTCTAAGAATTTGTAAAGCTTCTCTCATTTTAGCCTGGACTTCTAGTTTCGTCTGGGTTCTCGAAGTTCCAATAATTTCAGGGCTGAGTGCTGGCTCGATTGTTTCCGAAGGGCTTTCCAAAGGGGTTTCCGAATGGGTTTCCGAGGGTGTTTCCTCAGTTGGCGTCTCCGTCTCCACACCAGAATCCCGTCTTCGACTTGAGATAATAGCTTCCACAGCCTCTCCCAACACACTTCTGCTTCTCCTCACCAATCCCATCTTATGAACCATGGTTTTCCCAACCAATTCCCTCAACTTTGTCAATGTAATAATTATTAATTCCTTAGTATCATCACTCAACTTTCTTGTCCGCCATATTGCCATCTCTTTTTTACCAAATAAGAAGGCCAAGTTCGTTGAGAAACGTGTAGTCAACAATTCTTGATATTCGAGTAAGAGTATAGCTTTATTGATGCGGCGGATGAGATGTAAAGTTAGTGATGGAAGGGCAGGCGATAGGGATGATGAAGAGGTACAGGCTAGAGAAAAGTAACCGGAATCGGAACAATTGAGCTTTTGGTCGGCATTGAGAGATTTTCGAAGAGGCGATGCAAGTTCGGGAAAAGGAAAAGGAAGGGAGGAGATCTGAATTCTGGTGTAATCTATTGGTTCATGGATGTCGAGAGGTGGGACATCAGTTGTGGTTGTGAGAGCAGGTAAATTCGGTGGGGTTTCCACCATAAAGACATGGTGAACTTGCGATAAGTTACAAGATGCAGGTGTAGAGTCTTTAGGAAGTGACTGAAAAGAGAATCTACGGAAGATTTTTCTTATCGTTTTTCGTCTAGGTCTTTTGGCTGATTGGGGTAACTGCTCAACGGATACATTACTCGACTCCTTGTTGTCCTCGTTTTCCTCAGTAATCGTACTCGTAATAATGACTTCTTCCGATATAGAAGGTGGTGAAGAAATAGGCTTAGAAGAATCGATATCAACAGTATGCATGTCTTTCTCAGGCAGCGGCAACGAAGGTGACGAGGAAAAGAATTGGGAAAGACGGCGTGTGAAAGGCATCTTCGGGAAGGATTCGGCCTTTCTTTTGACTCTTTCAATCAAATGGTGAGTGGGTATCCCTCCACAAACTCTGACAACAGGTTCGTATGAAAAAAAAAATGGGTGCCCAAGGTAACTCGTGATAGACAAACGACGAAAATAGAAGGTACGAAGAAGGTATCAATCAGTATAAATCATAAATATAAAAACACAAAAGAAAACAACGTATAAGAAAACCTTAAAGCGAGAGTATGAAATGTGTCAG